TATTGGAATTTTCCATCTGAAAGGTCCAGAATTTAACATGCTCATCCTATGACTTGAATATACAGAGGCAGAAGAACTCTGGTGTTGAAGATGTAAACTAGTTTAGTTGGAACAACCGGGGCACCATGAGGGCATTTTCCGGTTGCATAGATCTGTTTTTTCTTATCATGTAACACCAGGGCTTGTAAGTAATGGTTCTGAGGATGGAAGAAATCCCAGCCCTTTACTTTTCTATGCCACAGACACAATCAAATAGCATATAATTATTAGGGACTTTGGGGATTGTTTGCTCTTATTCATAGGTATGCATGTGCATGCATGAACATATGCACAATAGACTGCCTCTCTCCCAAATAGCCACTGAGTAGTTTAGCTCTCAGCAGCATTGGCCTGAGGAAAGGTTGATCCCTTCTCCTGATGTCTGTGACAAGACACAAGCTAAGGCAATTACCAAGAAGCAAAGTAATACTCCATCATAAACCCTCCTACAACCAGCATGGGCAGGGGGAGCTGATGGATTGACCAATCATCCTACTTAATAGGGGGTTGCTTAGTACTTTATTTGTGGATGATCGGGTTATTTAAAAAATAAATAAATAACATTAAAATGCATTTGATTAAAACTCTGTTAAATGTAGTTGTCTTTCTAAAATGATTCATAGAATGTTGGGATCCCACAGGACTTCTGAGTCATCTGGGAACATTTGTCATCTTCATGCTGTGCAACATGGGTGGACTGGTTAACATCAGCATCTGCTGAAATTTCACAGAGGGAACAAATAGTTTGTTATGCTTTTATGATCATTTGGTGCTTAGTTAGGTAGGATTTTTACTACTCAGCGGCATTTCAAATAAGTTTAATGCTGGCATATGGAAAATCAGAGATGTTAGCATTCTGTCTTAACGGAACATGAACATAAAGAGCTACTGCGAGCATTGTGACACATCAAGGGTCCTGGGTCTTTGTCTGTCTTTCTGGACAAGTCCTGTGTGATGGTGAAATGCATATGCCCATACATTGTGAGAGTGACATTCCCTTTCTGGAAGACAGTTTATCCCATGCATCAAAGCCTCCAGAGAAAATACCATCAACTTAATAAACTCAACACTTCTAAGAAGTTTTCCTAAATAAATAATGGCACAGACAGTAAAAGGTATCTGTGGTGATGTCCTTTGCAACACTGCTTATTGGGATGGAAAGTTGGAAAAAATATTAAATATTCAGTAGTAGAAAAAAACTATGCTATAATATATGGGCATAATTTGTATGTATGGATATATAAGATACTGTCCCTGTTGACATTATAGTTTGTGAATGTGTTAAAACATAGCTATGAATGGGGCTGGGAAGATGGCTCAGCAGTTAAGAACAATGGGTCGTTCTTGCAGAAGACCCGGGTTCAAATCCCAGCACCCACATGGCAGCTAACAACTATCTGTAACCCTAGTCCCAGGGGATCCAACAGCCTCTTCTGACCTCCACAGGCACTGCATGACACGGTGCACTTACCTACATGCAGGCAATACACGCATACACATAAAAATAATATTTTTTTAAATGTAGCTATAGGTAAGGTAAGCTGAAGGAACTATTTGTGAGATAAGACCTATAACATGATCCCATTTTATTAAATATATATGTATAGCTAGGAAAATACCTATAGAATACATCAAATTTTCATCATGTCGTGTCTCCATGATGTGATCTCAAGCAGCTGATTTTCACTTTTGCTCTATAAAGTTTCTATTGTCTGATTTAAAAAATAATGAGTGTGTTACTTTCAGAAACAATAAACGATTAATTGAATATTTTATTTTGAAGGAAAAATAACCCTGTGGTAGAAGTGTGAAAGATAGGTTGCTTTGAGCAATGCCTAAAAGCTGACAAACTCATTTGCTTTGCACTGTGAGGGCCAGTTTCCCAGTTGATGGGTTCTTATACATACCAATTCAGTCAGCACATGCTCAGTTTCACTTATAAAGTCAACTGATATGGTCCTTAGTGTACGTGTATATGTACGTATGTATGCATGTGTGTTCACATGTGTAGGTGTTGTGGGGGTGCATGCACATGTGGAAGCTAAATGTTGGGTGTCCTCCTCTATCCCTCTTCACTTTATATATTGAGGTGGAGTTTCTGAGTTGAACTTAGAGCTTGTAGAGTTAGCTGGTCTACGTAGGCAGCTTGCTCTGGATTCCCTGCCTCAACCCTCTGAATGCTGGGGTCACAGACCTACCATGCCTGCCCAGCATTTACATGGGTGCTGGGGATTGAAACTCCAGTCCTTACACTTGCTTGACAGGTGTTTTACCAACTGAGCCATCTCACCAACCCCAACTGATAGGTTCTTAAGCAAGCAACTGAGAGTGCTGTGATTGAAAACACTGTGAAGCCATGTTGGTTCCTTTGTTGAATTTGCTGTTTTAACTTTGTAAACAGGTTTTATTAATAGAAGTAACAGATCCTTCCAAAGCAAGTTTTAGTGACTATATTCTAGGAAAGGAGCTACAAACAGAGTGGTTGTCTACAGATTTTAAGCTACATATAGCAAGGATTAGAAGAGACAGTAGAGATGATCCCGTTGCTCAGGTCATTCCTCCAGTGAGAAATCCAAGAAAAAGGCAAGCTGAGTGTGACCTGGCCACAGCGGTGAAACTAGTTCGTGTCCCAGCCAAAAGCCACCAGCACCCATGAAACCACATAAGGAGGAAGGTGGTAATATCTCAGATACACTAACTTGGAAACAAAGGCTTAAAGTTGATGCCATTAGGAGAAAGGGAGTTTTGCTTTTAGCATGGGGGTGCCCCATGTGGGTATTTTATGCATCCTGCTTGTCTTGGAAGAAGAAGACGCCAAGTAAAAGACATGCTTTCATGACTGGTCTGAAGGTGTAGAAGACTCAATGAAGACTTTCTGCTGATTAGCTTGAGCAGTTGTTAAGGATTCGTCCTTTCTGCTGTGGTTAGAGCTGACTACTGAGCAATAAGCCAAAGGAATATTAGGCCAAGAATTTGAAGGTTGAAGCCAAACCACGGGGAAGGGCTTTCTTCTGTAAACGACACAGTGATTGAATTAGAAGAGAACATTTGCATCATGTCATGTTGTCACCTCAAACTTAAGTCTAAAATTGAATTCATCTTTCTTCACTAAACAACTCCTTAACTGAACTTTCCAAACAATGAACAACAGGATAACACACTTTATAATGCTCTGTCCTAACATAGCCATTATTTCATTTGACTGTCACACACTTAGGGATGAGGAAACTTTAAGCAGGTTAACCAAAGGACCGCATGTTCCTAAGAGATCATTCTGGAAACCAAGTTTTCTGACTCCTAATCCAGTCATACATTAATCCCGTCACACCACACTTCCCTCCATGTTTGTGGAAAATTACCAGTTTTATAGAATTACTAAGTGATGCTGTATTTATATTGGCATTTCAGTATTGCACACTAGCAGATTTTAGTATGAAGTCAGATTTTCTGAAGTAACAAAAGCACATGAACCAACCTTTAGAATTTTTAAACATTTATAGTATTCTTAGTATTAAGGTAGGAAGATGATACAGATAAAAGTATTAGAGGTAGCCTGAAAATGTCCCGTTTAATAAATCTAGGATGAATAAACTACCATTGGTCACATATTGTGGACTGTTGATATAAACTGTATGGTTCTGAACTGAAGAGATGCCTCAGCAGTTAAGGGCACTGACTGTTCTTGCAGAAGACCTGGATTCGATCCCCAGCACTCACATGGCAGCTAAAAACTCCAGTTCCAGGGGAATTCAACTCCCTCATCCGACCTTCATGTGCATTGTACAATATAAATGCACTTAATACACACAGGCAATATACTCATACACATAAAATAAAAATAAAATATTAAAAAATGAATTGTTTGGTTCTGATATTTTTTCCTTACTTTGCAAATTAATTTGACCTTGTCATTATATGAGAATTAAGAGTCTGTGCCCACTCAAGGATGCCTCTTGCTTTGGTGCTGGAAAGATTGCTCAGTGGTTAAAGTACTTGCTGTAGAAGCAGGAAGGCTGGAGTTCAGTGCCCCAGAATTCGTATAAATGCCGGGTAGGCATGGTGGCCCACTTGTAATTCCAGCACTCAGTAGGCTGGGTATCCCTGGAGCAAGCTGGCTAGCCAAAATAGCCATATCCGTGAGCTCTGAGGTCAACTTAAAGACCCCGCATCAATGAATTAGATGGAAAGCAATCAAAGAAGACTCCCAACACCAACTTCAGGCTCCTACATGCATGTGCACAGATGTGCACATGCACCCACACATACACATGTGCCCACATGCATGAAAACACACTTGCACACACACCACACCATGTGGCTTTCAGGATACTAATGCATGCATATTTTAGCACACAAGACAAATCCTTTGAGGTAGCTGCTACCTCCTCAAAATGCACCAACTTTGAAGTCACCTACCAATAATCTATGACACCCTCCCCAGCATAAAGTAACTGAAGGAAAAAAAGAAAACCCAACCCAATTTTAATGGACAACTTTGGTGCATTGACACAAAAGTCTTAGCTTGGTGGTGTAAGTTAATATATTTCTGATCTTTGTGACAGTGCCGACTCTAATTCACACAATGTACTGAATTCTTCAATAAGTGTTTTGACTATTTGAGTTTAATACTTTGTATTTCCACTTCTAAATCATGCATGTGATAACAACCTTAGTAAAGAAATCTAAATATGCAAGCCCACAGTGTCCAAAGACAGCCTACTTTGGTGTATTCTAGTTTATTTGATTAATGTGGATTATCCTCTGTGCTATCGTATTAATGCTTTTTTTTTAACTCAGAACTTTGGAAATTAATTGATCGGGTCTCTGAATTGAGGAAAGCATCCTTTTAGATCATGTTATTCAGTTCATTAGTAGACAAGTTTGATGGTGTTTCTGCCAAGACATTGATGGAAATACTTGTCAGCTGGCATGCTCAGGACTTTGTCGTTGTGATGTTGCAGAATTGCCTATCAGAGGAATGATGATGATGAGGAAGAGGCTGCCCGGGAGCGGCGCCGCAGAGCCCGACAAGAAAGGCTGCGGCAGAAGCAAGAGGAAGAATCCTTGGGACAGGTGACCGACCAAGTGGAGGCCCATGCCCAGAATAGGTACTGTCTTCCTCTTTGCAGTGGAAGGTCTCCGGGTTGTGTCTTAGCCTTTCCCGTTGAATTGAATTTGTCAAGCAAATCCTCCTTTCTCAGATCAATTCAGTCAGCCATTTTTGGTTGGTTGGTTGTTTTAGTTTTTTGAGAAAGGTTCTTAGTCTGTAGCCCACGCTGGCCTGGGACTCACAGCTGTCCTCCTGTCTCAGACTCCCAAGTGCTAGAATTACAGACACGAGCCATTACACCTGGCCACAACTCAGCTGTTTCCAATCTATTTTTTTCATTTTATGGCCATTCTTGGCAACAAATCAGATTGGATGATGTAAGTTAGACTTTAGGTAGGACACCACCATTCCCTGCATACACCATCCCCATCCCCTGAACATATCCGAAGTGAAGAGTTTTATCTTATTTCATAATGTGATAGTTTAATATCTTAAGTATGGTAAGATACCTTTAAATAGGAACTCTTTACATTTCTTCACATATTATTATACGTTTTGAACAGATTTATTGGTTTAGTAGAGTCTTGTGTGTCTACCAGTAACAGACAACACTTGAATATTATAGGTGGACATAAATTCCAAATGTCTTCCTTCTCTCAATCTACAGAGTTAGTATTCTCTGATCACTGTAATGTTTAACAAGATGCAGACCTGCTTAATTTAATGTGATTATTCAAATTCAATAAGTTTCTTACTACATTAGGCTCTAGTATAGATCAGAATAGTTGAGGGGACCCAATAGCTTCAACGTCTTCTAATAGGACTTTAGTCATAGAAATAAGGTCACATGCTTCATTATGTTAATGGTTAAGAAACATCATTTATATGTCCCAAGGTCTAGAAAAGATACAATATGGGGATGGATGAGAAATAATTTTGATTTTTAAGTATGGGATAGTTACTAACAACACTACACTTTGGGACTTTGAGTGTGGTTTGGGTTTTAGTTTCTTATATTTTGTGCATGTTGTTCCATTAACTTGGTCTATTTAGAAAAATCTTCAAGGGAAGGGTCATGGCCTCTTTGGCTCATTTTCTAGGGGGACCCTACAAATACTGACAGGTAAGACAAATTGAATAAGAAAACGTAATGGCTGGGTAGAAGGTAGAAACCTTGTCCCTTGGTTCTTAGCTCCTAGTTTGGGGGGGGGGTACAACAAGGATGTGACAGGTATGATCACTGGGTCACCTTTTAAAAAATATTAGAATTCAGTTGATCCAAATGCCATATACATAAACTTTCCCCCTTGAACTCCCAATTCTTTATATTTTCACAGACATGTAACCTCTATGTGGTTAATTCATGGAGACAGTGTCCTGCAGCAACAGCCAAAAAGGCCCAAAAGGCTTAGAAGCTAGGCTTTCCTCCGCCGTATTTTGTTGTTAAATATGAAATGTGTTTTTCCAAAACCAAGTGAACTTGAACATTAGAAGAGCCAAGTTTGGTATGAACCATGAAATTTGATGGAGTTTCTAAACATTGCAAGACACATGCTTCCAACTCTGCTCACAGTTCTAGTATCACATGACGGGTAATTCCTGCCAGTGGAGGCCAACACCCCTGGCCTGGGCAGTGTCCAGCATCCTGAAAGACTGAGTGAGATGATGGACATGTTACAGTTTGGGTTTGAGAGGGTTTTTTTCTTTTTTAAAAATAAACATTCCATTTAGCCATTCTTTATCCATTGTAGAAAAGGACACGAAGCCCTTTATTCTTGGAAATCTGGACAAAGAAGGCAGATCATCTAGCTTAGTTACAGTAATGCTGCTGCTGCTCTGACAAGAAAGCCACACATTTTAGTATTCTAATGCAGTGTAGTGGACCACTATGAGTATTTCTGTGTGATAAATAAGGTGCTCTCCACCTTACTTTTTGAGACAGTCTCTCACTGAACTGGGAGCTCACTGATTCACCTAGATTGGCTGATCAGCAAGCCCCAAGTATCTCCATCTGTCTTTCTTCCTGTGACTCTGTCAGCCCCTAGGGATTCAGAGTCTCCTGAACACCAGCAGAGTGAGAGACATTAAAGGGTACACATCTGTTCATCAGTTGCCTTGGCCTGGACACATCACTTCTGCTCACATTCCGTTGGCAATTATTGGTCACATGGCCCTGTCTAGAAGCAAGGAAGGGCAGAGGGTAGGAAATGCAATCCTCAACTAGCAATCACCACATGAATTGTAGAGGACACTTCTATGTCGCCAGTGTAAAGGTCATCAGTGTGAATGTAGAATTTCCACACTGAACATGTCCTTCCCCCTCTAAGGATCTTGGGTCTCAGCCAATCCAAATCAGGAACCCTCTGTGACCCAGTGGCATGCATGTGAGACTGTGACACTAGCAGAATTCACTCATTATTTTGATCTGATCCCCGTCATAGTTTGAATTCATAGTGAAGCACATTCTGAAATCCAGGTTTGAGAATAAGTAGTTTATTTTTAAGGTAATTGCAGGAAACACTGGTAAGATATCGAAAGTGAGACAGGAAAGAGAAAGCAACAAAATAATAGCTGTTTTCCCACACAAGTGGCCACTTGGCATCTAAAACAATAAGCAGTAAGAGCCAGTGTGGAACCTGATCATAAAATTAGGCTTCAAAGGGGGAGAAAGACTATTTATATGCTGATACTCATCACCTTTGGTTGGATGCATTAATATTCAAAGTACTTTCAGCAAGTTGAGAATCTATCAGTGACCAGCAATAGTCCAAGAGTAAGGCTTGGATAGCCCGGCAAACAGTGTACTAGAGTAGTAATATCCAGGGCATACTGCTGGCCTCGGCCCTGGTTTTGGGTGCCTGTAAATGACTCATTAACCATCAAGCTGTCTTTGGTGTTGTGCTTTCTGTTGTCTAGTGTCCCTGATGAAGAGTCGAAGCCAGCCACCACGAATACTCAGATGGAAGGTGATGAAGAGGCTGCGTTACTGGAGCGCCTCGCTAGACGAGAGGAGAGACGCCAAAAACGCCTCCAGGAAGCCCTGGAGCGCCAGAAGGAGTTTGACCCAACAATAACAGATGCCAGCCTGTCACTGCCAAGCAGAAGAATGCAAAATGACAGGGCAGAAAACGAGACTGCGGAGAAGGAAGAAAAAAGCGAGCGTCGTCAAGAACGATATGAGATAGAGGAAACAGAAATAATCTCAAAGTCCTACCAGAAGAATGACTGGCAGGATGCTGAAGACAAAAAGAAAGAAGAAAAGCAGGAAGAGGAAGAAGAGAAGCCAAAGCAAGGGAGACTTGGCGAAAATCAGGTAGAGGAGATGGTAGCAGAGAAAACGCCCGAAACCCACGAGGAGGCCATGGTAACGGCGCTGGAAAATGGGCAAGTCAGTGCAGAAGAGCCCAAAGCAGAGGAGGACAGGGAACAGGACACAGAGGAGATAGCCCATCGCAAAAAGATGGAAGAGGAAGAAAGGGAGAGAGCTGAGGCAGAGAGGCTGAGGTTGGAGGCGGAAGAAAGAGAAAGGGTCAAAGCTGAGCAAGACAGGAAGCTCGCAGAGGAGCAGGCGAGAGTGGAAGCAGAGCAGAAAGCGGCTGCCCAAGAAAGGGAGCGGAGGGAGGCGGAGGAGAGGGCGAGGGTCCAGGAGGAGGAGAGAAGGGCTGCGGCGGAGGAGAGGGCGAGGGTCCAGGAGGAGGAGAGAAGGGCTGCGGCGGAGGAGAGGGCGAGGGTCCAGGAGGAGGAGAGAAGGGCTGCGGCGGAGGAGAGGGCGAGGGTCCAGGAGGAGGAGAGAAGGGCTGCGGAGGAGGAGAGGGCTAGGCTAGCAGAGCGAGAACGGAAGAAGCAGCTAGAGGAGAAAAGGAGCGACACACAGGCCACGAAGGGAAAGGGGGAGAGGGGAGAGGAGAAAACGGAAAGGAAAGGGGTCAATGAAAAGAAAGCGCAAGAAGACAAACAGCAGAGAGCTGTCCTAAAGACGCAGGTACTTTGAGCATTTTGCACCAACTGTGTGATGCCTGTGACTCCTGAGAAATGTAATGCGCAGCAAATTGGGGACTGAGGCTGCAGGCTTATAGCCTCACGTGCTTGATCATATGGCAAGCTGTTCATTTTTTTTTTTTTCAGACCATAACAATACCCAAGCATGAAGCAATGGAACCATGGCTACATATTCAATCAGCCAAATTTACTGGGATGACCAGAGAGAAACAACTGCTCTGTGCTTGGATGTTATGGCTATTAGAAAAAAAAAAAATGAATTAACCCTAAGATAATGAATGTGGTGGGGCTGCGTCACCTTGTTTCTGCATCTGCATCTGACTCTCTCTGACATCTTTCTTCTCTTCATAAGTCTACATGAGGCAAGAGGCCCATTCTCCTCATCTCCCCCTGTGTTTGATAGTAACTTGAAAGAATTATGAAAGTAAAGGTGGGAAGTTAATGTAAATAATTATGATGTATATAATTATCCTAAGAATAAAAAGTAAAGAAACAAATAAACAAACCCCCTTGAAAACAACTGGGGTAAAGGAGCCAGTTGGAACCTTTTATTAAAAAAAAAAAAAAAAGAAAGAAAGAAAAAAAGACTTTCACAAGCCTGACTTGCCATCATGTAGGCTGAGGTTAATGGAGACTTGCAGGAATTCATTCATCTGGGGTAGTGTAAGTGGTGGGCAATCGAGCATGCATTTTGCTCCTTTTTACCATCTGGGTGACACAACCTTATGTGACCCAAGGAAGGATGGAACAGTAGTTGAGGGGGGCCATATTTTTTTTCTGTCTGCAAGGCTGCATTACAAGCCTTTACCTAAACTACCATTCTTTCCAAAAACTGTAAAAGAGAAAGAAACGCTTGCACGCTCACCTTTCCAGAGTGAGCTCTCTGCCTCTGCATTGCACTGACATTGTTTTGCACTCCCGCTTCTATACCAAGGGCTTATGCACATGGCTATAACTGAGACAATCATGAACAAGATGCACCAAGCCACATATGAAGTTGTCAACACACACCTGGAGCACCATGTCATGCTAGAGTTCTGTGAGCACAGTGGGAGGCACAGGAGAAATATGGGGTGGGGGTGCGCTATCCCACATTGGTGATAGAACCAGCACCAAGAGGTGGTAAGTGTGACACTAAAGCAGCCACGGTGGCACCATCCCTCAGCACAGCACACGCAGAGTGAGCTGAGCACCCTCTCACCCTTGCAAGCTAGAAAGGGCTTCTTTCACATGAGTGACCTTCACCATTCTTGAAAATAAAAAGGAAGAAGAAAAGGGAGCTAAAGGGCAAGTTCAAAGACTAAAGTCCCAAGAAGACAAGCCTGCCTTCAAAAAAGAAGAGGTAAATTTCATTAAGAACAATCAGATTGATGGCTCAGCAGTTAAGAGCACTAGCTGCAGGTTTGGTTCCCAGCACCAAACAACTACCTGTAACCTCAACTCCAGAGGGCTCTGATGCCCCGGGCCTCCTTAGGCTCTGGCACTCGTGTGCATACACACACACACACACACACACACACACACAAAATAAAAATAAATCTTAAGAAACAGAATAATCAGATCATAAAACCACATACAAAGCAGCATTCCAGGATCTAATCTCAGAATTGCAACTTCTCTCCCTGTGTTTTTCAAACCATGACTCATAGGCTGTTGAATGATGAGATCAGTGGAGAGTATCTCAAACTTAATCAATCTGTAGAGGTGGTTGAGTGAGTAAAGTGCTAGCCATTCAACCATGAGGATCCATGTTCAGATCCCCAGCACCCACATAAAAAGGCCAGCATGGTATTGGGGAGTGACTGTAGTCTTAGCATTGGGAAATAAAGACAGGAGGATTTCAGGGGCTCACTGGCCAGCCAATCTAGCCAATCAGTGAACTCTGCATTCAGTGAGAGACCCTGTCTCAAAAATTAAGGTTAAGAACAACAGAAGAAGACACCCAGCATCAACCTCTGGCTTACACACACACACACACACACACACACACACACACAAATTACTAATCAGTAGGTCAAAAACCTAAATGGAATAGAAAGTATCCGAGGGCATTGTAGGTAGTAAGGACTGCAGTCTCTCATAAATTCCCTTTTCTTACTGTAGTTCATAGGTGAGAACTTGAAAAGCTCCACGTGTCTCAATCTTTCCTGCTTCTTACTCTTCTAGGTGCTAATTTTGTCTTCTTGAGTCCTTCTCTGTTTGTATTTCAATCCGGAAATATTTCTAGCTCTTTGATTAATGCTTTAACTTTTCCAAGGAAAAGCACCCTTTCCCCCTCTATCTCGGTAGAAAATTTGGTGAACTGAAGATGATATCACGGTTTTCAAAGGAATATTTTATCAAAATGTTCTGCATTGCATTTCTGAGGCACACACACACAGGAACGGGTGCCAGTAGGTAAGTAACTGAAATTGCCACACAGAGTGTCAAAGCCCTCTGGCATACAGTGCCGCAGCAGAGAGCCTGGCCTCGGTCTAACCATCCTGCCTGTTCTAGCCTCACGTAATCCTACAATTTGCCATGAGAGCTAGTTAAGTCCAAGTTCAAGAGAGTTAAGTACTTGAATGTGGTTAAACAGAATTGTCAGAGATAGGAACACCTGAATTCCTTTGCCCATGAGACTGACAAAGTAGTCTGAAGCCCTTGAGTACTGGCCCAAATGCACTCTCAATACATTTCTCTATGTGTTGTAGTATCTATTAAAAAAACCCAAAATTGTAAAGAAAAATCCATTTGTAGAAAATAGATGGCCAGATTAAATAGTGAGTATTCTGCAATGGTTTTCTGCAATGGTTTTGTAAGATTCACATAAGACTTATTTTAAGATTTATGTTGCCTTCTGCTTCTCATAGGACCTGTGGTTTGAACATGAGCACTGCCCATCTGAAAAGAGACTGAGTAAATACTGATGACTGGGAAATTGAGTTTAGCTCTAAGGAGGCAGCTTTAAACACATTGAAACACTTCTCATTTTGTGATAAAGAATACCTACAGGCCCATCTACACATGGAAGTTACCTCAGAATTAAACTCACATAGACGGTGGTATTGCAAAGTCTAATTCAGCTCACTAGATAGCGTTCATTTTTAATGGCCAAATCATTCCATGCCTATGTAGGGTGTCTGAGCCAGCAAAGGCTCATCAGTGTTCGCCCCAGTTATCCTTTTACCACTTTTCAAATGAGGCAACGTCTAAGGTGCCAGCTAGATATTCCAGGAAATAGCCGGGTTCAGGCTTGCCATGTTTCCTTTCTGTTTGCCCCCCACACACTCTGGCATCTCCTAACTTCTGGCTTCATTTTTACACTAGGCCAGATAAGCTCTTCCAACCAGGCTTTAAAAAAATAAATTCTGTATTTCTGTTTTAACATTGACTGAATGACAAAGGCGCCCCCTTTCCAGCTAGCCAGGTTGGTGTATTATACAGGCAGCTTTAAATCATTTTGCATGATTCAGCCATTTTAAATAACCCCTTCCTAGTCTTTTTGTTAAAAAAAAAATAAAAAAGTCACACAAAAGCAAACAAAAACCTTCTCTGGCAGGGATCCACACAGTGTAAGCATGATAGGTCAACCACAAGTAGGCACAAGCATCCCACTGGCCTTCTGAGAGGAAACGCTTCCCAAGGTCCTGTGCTTCCAGTGCCTTAAAACACAAACAACCCCCCTGTCATCTTCCACTGCAGTTGAACTCTGTGGTAGCCTAGGGGCACAGATGATCACTAACCTCGAGACTTAAATTTGGCTTTCTGTCTCTTCATTTATGAGAAGTCTCTTTTTAGTTATTCACCAGTACCTATTTTTTGTTTTCTTGATCTTAAAGAGAAAAACAGTTTCTAGCAAAGTGGCTTGTATGACACTGACCCTGATGTCCCATGGCATGCAGGCCTCCATGTCCCAAGCCTCAGTGTGTAGATGCATCACCTAGGAATCTGGCTAAAGGAGAACTGATTCTGAGCCTCTAGGTTGGAGCCCAAGCCTCCTCCTGAGGTCTAAGTTGTTTATGGAGCAAACTTTCAAGAGTCAGGAGGACAGCCATGTGATAGAAAGGGGAGCCAGGAAAGGTTTTAGGGATCTGGAGCTAACAAAGTGTGCTAAACCTGGTCTGAAAACTGTGACTTAGCCCCAGCTCTTGTTGCTATTTTGGAATCTTACTGGAAGCAGCATGCCACAGAGACCCACATCTCAGACCATTCCCTGTTCCTTTGGGCTTTTGAGTTTCTCTGACTGAAGGCCTTGCCCCTTAAATCCCCACACCCCCTCATGCCTGTGTTTCTCTCATTAGCTAGTTTAACTATCTGGAGTTTCAGATGAATGATCACATTTGGTCAGAACCTGTCTTATGAGCGCACCCATGTTATCTGTGAGTGAAGTGTATTTACTCTTTCAACACTTTGGCTACCTAGTAAACCCTCAGGAGAGATGTTTTTTTTTTTTTTCAGTCACATTCCAACCCAGAAGATCTAATTCTTTTCCTGGTGGGCTCAGAAGGCCCTGGGCTTGGGTTGAACTTGTCATACAATACAATACATTCTACGCCTTAAACTAAAATTTAAAAGCCCTGTGGAATCACTTTATTTACTTCTCAGGAGAAAATAATTCTCAGTCAAACTCAAGTCATCGTTATTACATTGAGAATGTTTGTAAGAAAATTTTCCACTAAGAATATAAGTAGGTTTCTGCAGGGCACGAGTTCTTTGCAGCTGTCTTGAAAAGAACAAAAATGGACCTCACTTTTTCATGCTCATCATTTAAGAATGTATGAGATGTTATAGGTGGAGGAATTTGAACTCCTTTCCCCACCCAAAAGCTAATTTGAAATAATGTCTCATTTACCATATAGAATCTGTAACGGAGATCCCATAAAAATATTAAAGTTAACACTGCTCTCTATGCATCATCTCCCCCTATTTTCTACAGCAATCACAAAAACACTTCCAGAGGGCTAAATTTTTTCTACCACTAGACGTCAAGGTAAACCCTGGAACTGTTCCTACTCCCTTCCCATGTTAGTGGTTTAGATGACTTCAAATATGGTTCTAAGTCCTTCCCCTACAAGTGGGGTTATTGTGTTTCATCCTCAGGACCCCATTACTCATTTGACTAACACACTAGATGGTATTCCCCAGAATCGGATCTGGCTAACCTGGTAGGTTACCCTCATTTTCTCCTCAGTGGGTCCTTATCAAAGATGCCCGTCCTTGGCCAAGAAGAAACCTGATCAAACTACCTGGCCATTCTTCCATCAAACCACACTAATAATCGCTCTTCCCAGTAGGAACTTCAGACAGCTATACTTAGGTAGGATTCCCAGAACTCAATGGTTTCCAAAGAGCGACACCAAACTGCTTCCCAAAATAAAAATCCCAGTGAGATCAGCAATGATCTTGACTTCCTAAAATTATAGTCAAAGTCTTTGCTCATAGGCCAAATGACCATGACTAACTCTTGAAAATTTTCCTTGATCCCATCTCTAGCACATCATGCTCTGTGTGACTTTTCTACCTCCAAATCTTCTGACGTCTTCAAAAGTTGGGATCTTATTTGATAACACGAACAAAACCTTATGTTTATTGTTACCTTTCTTCTTGATATATATCATTGGTTAGATCAAAGATGAGAAGATGGAAAAAGACAAAGAGCCCCAAGAAGAAGTTAAGAGCTTCTTGGATCGAAAGAAAGGATTTACAGAAGTGAAGTCACAGAATGGAGAATTTATGACCCATAAACTTAAACATGCAGAGAATACTTTCAGGTAAGAAGTAGTGATTAAGTCACATCCCAGTCTCTCTGTCCTGGCCTCCAGACAGAAAAGGAGATAACCAGACAAGATTCATTGGTTTTGAAGTCACTGGCTATTGTCTTAGGAACACGAGTCAGTAGATCCTGCTTTCCTGTGATGAACAGGAGACCAGCAGTCATTACTCAGCCACAGCTTAATCTCTGTCTATTTCCTCTACCTTTTTATATAGCAAGGCGTACAGTGCTTTGTATCCATGTTTGGACCTACTATGGTCTCGTGAGATCAGCATATGAAAACTATTATGGCTGGGGTTGATGTCATTGGTTCATTCTCTAGATGGTCCAGACAATTTCCCAAGGACCTTTCTTGGTACCACTTTTAAGAGTTCATTCTGTAAAGGTTGTAAATGAACGTGTGATGAAGCTCAGATTGTTTCATGGTCCAAAAAGTTGGGAAACATTGGGTTGAACTAAGTCTCATCTATGTACCATAGGAATTTAAAAGCCTTCTATGTAAATTTGCTTTGGAAGTCTCTGAGATGGGGCATTTGGAACTACTGGCCCATTTTAGTTTGGAAAACTGTAGTGTGGCTTCAGCTTCGCACTTCCTTACACCCTCACACCGACTTTTCCATCATACAGAAAATCTGGGCAGTTGATACAGGACAGATGAGGCCAGTACATGTACATCCTCAATTCCAGATACAGTTGAATTCTCAGAGCTCCCCACCAGTTTTGTAGAAAGACTCAAGGTACAGACGCCTGTCACGACAATGGGCTGCACGATTCTCTGAGTCCCATCGCCACACAAACAAAGTCTTTCCAATCACTAGTGTTCTCTCTCCACCTCTGCTGTGCCAGATGTGCTGAGAAATGGTTTGGGGTCTCACAGGGTAGATTTTCTTGGGCTGTTCTTCGGCAGCTGCCTTACCTACAGACTTTGAACACTTCAAACAGGAAAGGCACCAAGCAGGTACTGTGCAGGCGGTTGACATGCCTCTTCTATTGTAGACTTGGTAGCATTTAGAAGCAAGTAGAAGTACTAATGATAAATGTTTCAGGATCATCTGAGAAGATAAGTAAATGTAGATTCCCCCAAACAGTTTTTTACCTATGCTAGAGATTGAACTCGGGGCCTTGAGCATGCTAGTCACGTGTTCTGCCACTAAGCTACATTCCCAGCTCCAAAACAACTTCTCTATATAATAATCTGAACAGAAACCCAGCTGTATTTATAAACCCAAAGTGTCTATTAAATCACTTGTTGGACTTTTGGCTGAGATCAAATGTATTGCACAGTAGAAAGTTATGCATTAAGACCCTATATAAACTGTGAAGGAATGAGAAAAATAGAATCCAAGTACATTGCTTGGAATTGGCAATAAAAATTAAGATATATTGGAAATTCATAGACAATCTACAAAGCAAGTTGATTGAGGTTGATAAGCTGAGTCTACATCTTGAAGTACCCATAGTTGAATGTTTTAAAATCCTAATGCATGTTCATTCAAAGTATTCAGTGAATATGACCTAATATTATCATTCTATAACTTGATCATTTCAGGTATGTTTTTGTAAGTATCAGATACTTTTGAGAGGCAAATTTTATTCTTGTTCAGAGAGACTGTACTAAAAAAGAAAACCTGTCACTGTAGAGAAGTTTGGCTGGCCATCATTAGCAAGCGAGCCAAGGAGCTTCAGTCAAAACTCAGATTAACAGTGAGCGCGTCTGTTGTGGTGAGTGACACTGACGCTTTGGGGATCAGAGAGAAGCAACGTGGTAAGAGCCCCAGAATGCTGAGCATTGAGAGCCCATACGTGGGCCTTCATTTTTCCATCTTTAGGCAGAAAAAAAATACGGTAACATGTTGCCACAATATCATCTGTTTCAGTTTCTGCTAGCAGCCACAGAGGCAGAGAGGAACAGATGCACTCCACACACTTGCACAGTGAGGAAGACAGTGGATGCCTCCAGCTAGAGGCTTATTTACTACTGAACTGAAAGCAAGCTGTGCTCTTTCCCAGCAAAGACCTGCTGTCCATCTTGCCTTAAGCCTAAAGAAGCCAAGAATAGGATGGAGAACTTCCTGGAAGAAATGTTCATATAATTGCCACCTTAGTGCTTGGAGCCTACCAAAATGTATTGGCAGAAGCCATGTGACCAAATCTTACTCCTGTTTTGATGAGAGCTTACTGTGTTTTTCATTTTTATGGTCAGAATTATGTTAGGTTTTTTTTCTGACTACCAATAACATTTATTCCATATTTTTCTATTTATATAACACTAAAGCTAGACACACATATGAACATACAGTACATATGTGGATGAATATAATCATAAATATATATTTTATATTGATCTTGCACACACATAACAATGCAGCAAAGCCAGCTTTCTACCCCAGTGGGTCTAAGCCTACACCAAGTGATGTGAATGATTCCACTCCCTCATGACAGATATTTCAGTTGTTTAAAGTCTGAGCGACACCTAGTGGAACCCAGAGAAAGTTCTATAGGCCTGTCATTGGAAGACAGTAATCAGTTTTACTCAAAGATAGATGAAGAGAGAGCAAATTGGTTTATGGAGAGGACTTAACTGAGGGGAACCACAGGCCTGCGGCCCTGAAACACTGAAAGAGCAGTGTGAGTTTTTAACCTCCAACCTTGAGTTCAAAATGAGAGTATATCTTTAACTGTCAAGAGCCTACAATCTTTTTTTTTTTTTTTTCCTTTTAACGTCCCAGACTGTTATCTCTAGAAGTTCAGTTAGGTGTTTTATATTTTCTTTAGGGCACAGGTGGCCTACAGTATTTCTATACTTTATGACCTCAGTTCATAGTGACAAACATGTTTATACTGTGACCCACATATACGCAAAAATACACACATATGCACACACAGACACACACAAACACATAGAAACAAACATACATACACATACGCCTGTAGCTGAAACAAACTGTGTCAAAGCAGAGTACTGTCTTTTGCTCTACACAGCGCCCTTCAATATTTTCAATTTCCCTTTCTTAAAATGTTGATTCCAATCCACCAAGTTCATTTGTTGACCTGAAGCCTGAAAAGCATTGTCCTAGAGGACACAGTATATACTCAGAACGTCCTCAGTGTTTAAAAAGCATGAGGTATACAAAATAAGATCAATATTATGGACTGAGTATCTTGAACCCTCTCCTTGTTTTATTCATTCTCTCACACCAGAGCTAGAGACACGGTGCCATTTGTCATTCAGAATGAATGTTAGACAGCTGTAGTTTATTTCTTCCTTATACTAAGGTGGTCCTGTTTTTTAATCTAGTTAAGAATGACCCTAGACTTATAAAATACTTTAAGAATAAGTATTTAAATAGGAGACACGCTATATCTTTGTCTCTCAGTTAAAGACTCCCTATAACAAAGGCCTTAGAGCATACCACTGAATTCTCCTCCAGTCCTGTCCCTGGAGAATTATATGAATTCTTTGCTAGTGAAAACAGTGTTCTTTAAAGGATCTCACAGTCAGAGGGTACCAATGATACTGTCCCATCTTTTTATAGGATCCACAGAAACATTAAGAATATCAGTCCAAGAGGCTGGAGAGATGGCTCAGTGGTTAAGAGTCCTGGATGCTCTTGCAGAGAATCTGAGCTCTGTTCCCAACACCCACATGGCAGTAGCAACTGTGTGTAATTCCAGTTCCAGGGGATTTGGTGCACTCTTCTGGCCTCCACGGGCACTAGGCTCACACACAGTGGACAAAGATACATGCAGGCAAAACATTCATATACATAAAATAAAATAATCTTTCTTTCAAAAAAGAATATTAGTCCTAAAATAAAATCTGAAATATGGACTCAGGCTAGCATACTGTCTTTAGTCTTAACATGGTCCTAATTCTGCAATAAGATTCCTATGGATTCTCCCTAGTTGCAAATTAAAAGTCAATATACTTCCAATTTCTGTCCCTATTTTATAAACAGCCTTATCCATTTCCTTTCCATTTTATATACTATAATGTTTGATAAAGCATAGCTTTAAGACATGGAGCATAGCTAGGCCTAGTCTGTCAACATTCTAGAACCTGAGAGGTTGGAAACACCCTGCACAGACTGTCCTCCGTGTTTGAGGCAGGAGGAATGGAGGAGGGTTGGCGTCTTCTATTACAATTGATAAGTTGTTCTATAATAAATAATATTTAACTTCAGATGTACAGTGACAGGTATAATGACACTCTGAAGAAAGGGGAGGCATTAGAGTCTAGATATGCCTCTCTCTCTTTCTCTCTCGCTCTGTGTGTGTGTGTGTGTGTGTGTGTGTGTGTGTGTGTGTGTGTGTGTGTGTGTGTGTGTGTGTACTCATGTATACATGTGAGTGTGGAGGCCAGGGGAGTCAACCTGTCCCTCTGGAGCTCCCCATTCTGTCTTTTGAGACAGGATCTCTCACTGACCTGAGCTCACCTACCAGTCTAAGCTACTGACCAACAAGCCCCAGCAGGGGTCCTCCTATCTCACCTCCCCAGTGTTCCAATTACAAGGGCACACCATCTCACCTGGCTTTTTTACCTGGATTCTGGGGATGGAACTCAGGTCCAGGTGTTTGCATGGTAAGCACTTACTGATCGAGCCATCTCCTCAGGCCTCAACTGCTTTCCAGCTGCTAAAAGACTGGACACATTATTTTCTGCCTCCCACATTCATAAAACAGGGATAGTAACCTAACCCATCAACTCCCTAGTTATTGTGACTAGTGAATGAGTTTATACAAAAGATTTATAAAGCATAATAAATGGCCACCCTAATTTTAAGTAAGCACCTGATCACACCACATCAGAGCTAATTTAGTTGGAATAAGAGGTTAATGTTCAATCATTAAGAAATTTCTGGAAGCAGCTCTGTCAGAATAAACATCTATTACCAGGTTTAACTCAATCAAGAGACATTGAGGCCAGTGTAGTGACACACATGTGTAATCCCAGCACTTGGGAGGCTGAGGCAGAAGGATGGTGAGGTAGAAGCCAGCTATCGAGAGATCCTGTCTCAAAAACCAAATACTGTACAGTTTAGTAGTGTTAACTACATTCTGCAGTATTCTGCAATGGAGCTCCAAATTACTTCAGCTTACAAAACTGAGATTCTACACCCATTACCTAGCTTTTCCTTATTCACCTCCTATGCCCCAGGGAACCACCATTTTCTGTTTCTATGCATTTGATTATGTTAGATCCCTCATACAAGTAAAATTTGGAGGTATTTGTCTTTTATGACTCGTTTGTTTCATTTAACATAAATGCTTCAAGTAGCATGTGTCAGTGTTTCCTTCCTTTTGAAGGTTGACTAACATTCCATTTTATGATGTACCATATTATGCTTATCCATTCATTCCACAATGTGCTCTTGGGTTGCTTCCACCTCTGGGTTGTTGTGGATAATGTTGCTATGAATACAGGTGTACAACCATCTCAATAGTCTGTTTTCGGTTCTTTTGACTATATTCCAGATAGGATGGCTGTATCATATACATAGAATTATTCTTTTCAGGGTGCACCAGAATGGGATGCTGTTTCCCACCTTAGGTGCCCTGTTTTACTATTCCCACCAGCAGAGGTGCTCCTGAAGACCCTGTAGATTCCCAACCTACCCTGGGGCTGGTATGAGGTTCCGTGTCAGAATGCAGTCTCCAGACAGGTATCCCCCTCCTTCCCAGGAGGGCTGCAAGGCACAACCAGGCAAACTCCTTTCCCTTCCCCAGCCGCCCAGGAGGCCGGACCAGCACGGACAAGGAGGCTGAGGGTGCTCCACAGGTGGAAGCGGGCAAGCGGCTGGAGGAGCTGCGCAGGCGCCGTGGGGAGACTGAGAGCGAAGAGTTTGAAAAACTCAAACAAAAGCAGCAGGAAGCAGCCTTGGAGCTGGAAGAACTGAAGAAAAAGCGGGAAGAGCGAAGGAAGGTTCTGGAAGAGGAGGAGCAGAGGAGGAAGCAGGAAGAGGCGGAGCGCAAAGCTAGAGAGGAGGTGAGACCTGCTGGGCCCAGCCAGGGGGCCCTGAGTGCTCCCAAGCCGGGGTACATGACCCGTGGCCCTGTGCCCAGAGGGGAACGATTCTCAGAAGTCCACGCTGCCACTCTTCTCCGCGTGGACATTTAGACATGTACTGTATCAGCGATAAGCTTGGTCTCTCAGTCAGTAGAGTGCTTGCCCAATATGCACAAATCCCAAAACAGCACATAAACCTGTGTAATCCTAGCACCCGAGAGGTAGAGGATCAGAAGCTTAAAATCATCCTCTACCACATAACGAGAAACAGGCTAACCTAGGCTACATGAGACCCCATCTCAAAATAATAATCATATTAGTGTGTACTGGCATGGTTCTGAAACCTGAAGACATGTTAACTTAAGGCAGATTTCATGAGAACTCATGATGTAGGTACTTGACACCCCTCTTTTCCAGATGAAGAAACCCGGGCAGAGAATCATTTTGTAAATTTCCCGGGGTCCCACTAAGCCCAGGACCTGTTCTGCCTGTAGATAAAAAACAGTGTTGAAACTGAGGAAGATGACAGGTCTGTCAGCAATCATAGGAACCATGTCAGATAGCAGGTGTGGTGGCATAGGCTTATAAACCCAGCACTGGGAGGCCGAGGCCGGTGGATCATGAGCTCAAGGCCTGTCTGGGCTCTGTAGTGAGTTCCATTCCAGCCTGGGTTATACAGAGAGACCCTGCCTCCACAAACACAAACCAAAACCAAAAAATGAAAGAGAAGAAAAATAGAATGGCTACATGATAGTTGTTATCCAATATTTGGAGAGAAGTTGTGTGCGTGCGTGCATGTGTGTGAGCATGCGTGTTTGTGTGTGTGCAAGTCAGAGGACTACTGTGTGGAGTCAATGCTCTCCTTTTATCTTTACACAAATTCTGAGGCTCGAACTCAGATCTCCGGGCTTTCACAGCAAATACCTTTACCTGCTGAGCCATCTTGCCAGCCCTGAAGTTATTTTTAAGTAGATTAGAATGTACAGGTGTCGAGATGGTGTCTGCACTACAGTGTACCAGAACCCAATACAGGGCCAGGGCCTTGTCATCATGAGAAGACACATTTGTTCCATCCATTAACACAGAGCTAAAAACAACAGATCAAGTTACAAGGAGGAAAACTTTGGCTCAGCATATGAAAAAATGCTAAACCAGCTACAGCTTATATTGCTGTGGTTTACAAAGTGCATTCTTTCCTTTCATCCTGGGGTACATTCTCAATTTATGGGCAAAGAAACCAGTAATCAAAAAGTTGGAGTGACTTGTTTGAAGATATTTGATGGATAAGTGTTAGGATCGGCATGGGGACCCTTCTTTTCCAATTCCTGAGCCTAGAACGTTTGAGACAGTAATCTCTATCCCTGAAAAACATGTAAAAAGATTTTCATTGTTTGTCTGACATGGATGAAATACACAGTTTCCCTAAACTGTGTGAAAAGTTCAGATAAATTATTCTAATGTCTCTTCCAACTCCAACTTTTGATGAGCCCATGACTTTTGGCTAGACCATAACTGTGATGGAAGAAGTTTATAATCAGACAGACCTGGACTTTGTCCTAACTCTGCCACTTACAAGCTGAGACCTTGGGGCAACAACTAGGATACTCTGTCTTATTCACCCTGACTGTGGAACAGTGTCTACTGCTGACTAAGCAAATCATTGTATTCACAGTGGCTGGCACATCACAGGTCCTCACACAGCAGGAGTTATCATTTTACTGAATACTTAGAAGCGGGGATACCAGGGCAGTAGAACTGGATTGAGGGCTTTTGGTCCATCCTTCCACTAGGCACAGAGTCCTTCTGCAGCATCCTCTGGCACGTAGCCACCCATCTCTGCTTCAGAACACCCAGTGGTAATAATATCATGGTTATTTTTTACTTATTTGTGTGTGTGTGCATGTATGCATGGTTATGTGTGTATGTATGCACATGTGTACATGTGAATATGGAAGTCAGAGGTCAACCTCAAGTATTCTTCCTCAGACACCATCCACCTTGGTTTTTGAGATGGGGGCTCTCATTGACCTAGAATTCACTGAGTAGGCTAAACTGGCCAGCAAGTGAACCCCAGGGATCTTCCTGTTTCTACCCTCCTAGTGTTGGGATTACAAATGTTTGCCACCACATCTGGCTTTTTAAAAATATTTATTATTTTCATCTTATGTGTATGCGTGTATTGGCTGCATGTAGGTAAGTGCACCCATGTCATGCAATGCCTGCAGAGGACAGGAGATGCCATCAGATCCCCTGAAACTGGAGTTATGGACAGTTGTTAGCTGCCATGTAGTTGCTGGGATTCAACCCCAGGTCTTCTGAAAGAACAGCCAGTGTTCTTAACTGCTGAGCCATCTCTCCAGCCCAACATCTGACTTTTTAAATGTGGGTCTGGGGGTTGAATTTACTCCTTATCTTACAAAGCAAGTACTTTATGTACTGAGCTATTTTCCCAATTCTATTTCTTTTTTCTTCTTTCATTTTTTGAGACAGGATCTCATGTAGCTCAGACTAGTCTTGAGTCTGCTATATAGCTGAGGATGACCTTGAACTCCTGATCTCTTGCTTCTACTTCCCAAGTGCTGGGATTACAGGCATGCAATATCGCACCTCACCAATCCAACAGTTTGAAAACTCAAAGATAATGCATCAGTCTCTCAGAAAATCACTTTTTTTTTTTTTTTTGGTCTTTTTGAGATAGGGTCTCCCTGTAGCCCCAGCTGGCCTGGAACTCACTATGTAGACTAGGCTGGCCTTGAACTCACAGAGCTCCGCCAGCCTCTGCCATCACTCTTAAAGGATAAGCAACTTGATCAGAACTCTGAGCCTTGGCCTGAGAGAGGATAGGACATTCTAGGCCAGGAATGAAAGCACAGAAGGGTTAATGAGACCCATTATGAGCATCTGTGATTTCTCCATCAAGGCAGACTATCAGCATCATACCACCTAAAATAATTATCTTCAACTGAGTTGAGGGTAACCATAGTATCATCTCGTGTAATTTGCCAAACTTGGCGCCATGGATTTTTAAGAAACTAAGGCAGATGGCAGGCAGGGTCAAGGTCACACAGTGGAAAGTAACCTCTCCAGAATGCAGATCCACACAGTGAGAGTCCAGTGCTCTTCTGAGGACAGGGCTCGGCTGTTGCCCTCTCACTCCCTCTTTCTCTCACAGTACTTGACAGATTGTGATGTGCTTGGCATGTGCTCTTTCTGTCAGGAAGAGAAGAGGCGGCTAAAGGAAGAGATTGAAAGGCGAAGGGCAGAAGCTGCTGAGAAACGGCAGAAGATGCCAGAAGATGGCTTGTCCGATGACAAGAAGCCATTCAAGTGTTTCACCCCTAAAGGGTCGTCTCTCAAGGTATGTTTGTCCAGAAATCCTTCTTATAATATGTCCCTTATGATATAGCAGAAACCTGATTTGAGCCCTTTTGTTATCAATTATTTAAGGACTTCCTTCGTTTCATTTAGCTGTATGCTGTTCTTTTATGTCAGTCTATGGCAAATTCAGTATCTGGTGAAGGCTTGTCCTTCATACATGGTGCCTTTTTACTGTGAACTCACATGGTGGGAGGGAAAAGAAGTTGAAAAGCAAGTTCCTTCCTTTTTTTAAAAATTTATTTTTATTTTTTAAATTTTATTTATTATTTTTATTTTATGTGTATAAGTGTATTGCCTGCATGTATGTGAGTGCACCCGTGTCATGCAAAGCCTTGGAGGTCAGAAGAGGGCTTCGGATTCCCCTGGAACTGGAGTTAAGGACAGTTCATAGCCACCATGTGGGTGCTGGGAATCGAACCTGGGTCCTCTGCAAGAGCAGTCAGTGCTCTTAACAGCTGAGCCATCTCTCTAGCCCCCCTCTTCCTTTTTAATAAGGGCACTAATCTCATTCATGAGGGTTCCACCCAGCTACCACCTTTTAATATAGCGTGTTGGGGATTAGATTACACCATATGAATTTTGAAGGGACACAGACATTCGGACCCCAGCTTGTTTCCACAGTTTCTTATTTTCAGCAGGTGGAAAAGAGAGGAAGCAGTGCTATTTGTACCTTTTGTGTAATGTAGGCTCTGCTGTGTATTACAATGACATTTGATAATCTCTAAATTTTATCTCCTGTACACTCCACTATGCTTAATTTGAGCAGCTGAGACTGGAAGCATGTAAAGTTCATAAAATGGACACATATAATGGTCTAACCTGCCTTTCGTGTTAGATTTGTGACCATTGAAAGCAGAGCAACTGGAATTGGGCCAAGTTCAAATGGCAAAGCTATGATCATGGTTGATGAGCTGTGACTTGGATAGGGTCCTCTTTCAGGAGAGTTAGGTCTTACTACTGCGTCCTGGATCTGAGCTCCTAACTTTTAGGACAGATGTTCTGCCCAGAGAAAAGAGAAGGAACAAGAAAAAGCTGAGGCCAGAGAGACAAAAAAAAAAAAACAAAAAAAAAAAAACAGCTTATTCAATAAAATACCGTCATTTGTAATCAGTCTGTCATTCATTCATTCATTGCCGAGTGTGCCTTTTGCTGTGAGGCTGCACATTGAGTTGAATGCCCAGCACAGTGCCTAACATATTGAAGGCATTTGACAAATATTTACACACGTGTATGTGAAAGAGTGAATCTTCGGAGTGTTTTTAACATCCTTATCCTCATTTTCCATCAGCCTGGCTAGGCTGCAAACCATCAATAATGGGCAAAACCACTGTAGAGTCATAGCCAGGCTCCAATGGCCATATGCATATATATGCATGGAGATCATGTTATGTGGCTCATAAAAGTGACTAAAAGCCAGTCACTTCCATTTTACAGTTAGTGCCTGGTTCATATGAAAGAATGCCATTTTGCATGTGTGTGTGTGTGTGTGTGTGTGTGTGTGTGTGTGTGTGTGTGTGTAGACAGGTGTTGTTCCTCAGAAGCCATACAACTTTTTTTTGAGATGGGGCCTCTTCTTATCCTGGAACTCTCCAAGCAGGTAGGCTGACTAGATAGCAATTTCCCCAGAGCTCTGCCTGTCTCTGACTCCCCAAAGCTGGGATTGCAAGTGCATACCACCACATGTGGATTTTTACATGGGTTCTGGGGATCAAACTCAGGTCCTTATACTTGCAAGGCAAGTGCTTTACCATCTGAGCTATCTTACTAGCCTTTAGAATTCTTTCCTCAAATAATTTCATTTCATTTTTAATATGTTTTAGATGTCAATCAGTCTAATACATCCAAGGAAAATTCCATTGTGCACTAGGTCATGACAATTTGGGTAAGGACTGATCACATATACAACACTGGTCCATAGTGACATTATAAAATATCTTGGTTTTTTGTAAGTAGGACCCATGATGCTCACACAATGAGATCACCCAAGACAATGCATTACCTGTCACTTGTCTCCATGGTTATGTTCCTTAAAGAACTTGCTTTGGCTGGTTTTCTGTCTTTGAACCCAGCTCGTTCTATAATTGAATTTTGGTAACTGCTGGTGCTGGAACCTGCCACTTTGTTATGATCACTATAGTGTACAGTTTGTATTATATAATGCTGAGGGGAAGGGAAAAATTTGATGACCTCAAAATATTATCAAATAGTGCATTTTGCTAGTTCGTTATGACTTCTATTGTGTGGGAAACTCTAAACCAGAATTCTCATTGTTAAATTATGCTAACAGTGAATGATTTTCCTACATATACATGGAAAGAATAAATTTTAAGTTAAATTTAAAGGTTTTTATTGTTGTTTGAGATTATTGATAAGGAAGCAGGCCATGAAGTACCCAAAATATCACCTAAAACTGTTTCTTCCTGAGTTTTACCAGGACAGCACTGCCTCCTGTTGGTGATCAGAAGCATCACCTCCCTCCTTAAATTCCTTAAACTTTACTAAACAGTATTTCATTTATAAATTGCACACAAATCAATTATTTAGAGCTACTAGGTTAAGGCATTTTCCCACAAGAATGCATTAATCAATGGAGGACAAGTCCTGACAAAATGCGAGAATGAAGTCAAGACTGACTATTCTAGACACAAAAAGAGGAGTGTGATGCAGTCCACAGCTTGAGTCAGTGACGGCCAGATAAGGATAGCCCAAGTCCGGCCACATACAAGCCTCAGCTCTGCTCCAAGCTGAGCTCTTCTTCCCACCACCCTCCACACCCCAAATTGTTGTAAGGTGTTTGATTTGTAAAACTGTCCTTTCCCCTCTAGCTCACACACACACCTAGAGTCTCCCTTTCATAAATCCACATATGAAACTGTAAGCTACAAAACTTAGGTCCAAATCAAGACTTTTGAAAAGCCTTCTCCCATTCCTAATGTCTTATCCTATAGACATGACATCTTCTTCTATCTTTAATAAAGTACCTACCACTGATATGTGAATGTGTTCTCCTTATCTACCAAATGTGTATTCTCCTTAAAAGACCCTTCATTCTCTTAGGCTGCAAGGCACACACATGCTAAAAGTTTCCATAGCCCACCCTGTCCAGGAATCTTCTACACTATAGTGACCTACCCTATCCTAGCTGATAAAGTTGAATAGCCCTTTGTCTCAGTCAATTTGGATAAATATAACAAATTACTTCAGGCTGAGTAGTTATTTTCCAGGTATAGGGATATATGCCTGTCATCCCAGCACTTAGGAGGCTGAGGCAAGAAGATCAGGAACTTAAGGATAGCCTACAGGACATAGTGAGACCTTGTCTCAGAAACTCCAAGGACAAAAACATAAATAAATTAGCATTTGTTTTTCACAGTTTGGAAGACTGGAAAGTCCAAGATCATCAGCATGCCAGCATTTCTGAGTCCTAGTGAGGGTTCTCTTCCTCCTCCTCTGCAAATGGCATGTTCTTGCTGTCTTCACATATCTCAGAGAACAAAGAGAGAACACAAGCTCTCTCATCTCTCCTTATTAGGGCACTATGTCATTCATGAGGCCTTCACCCTCCTGACCTTCAAAGACCCCACATCTATAACTCATCACTTTGATAATTAATTTGCTACATGTCTATATTAAGGGCCATTTTATTGACTGGTTTTTAATTTGCTGTCAAACTGAATCAACCCCCCACCCATGTGTGTAGGGGGGTGTCTATTCTTTATCCTCTGCCAATCCAACTCTCACCTTCCCAGTCTCACTACCAAATATGTTATTCATAATTTTCCTCTCTGGCTGAGCTGCTGTGCACAGCACCCTAGTACCCTTACGTGTTCTTTGGTGTTTTTATTTTCACGGTTCAGAAATGATAGTGGCATGGTTGAAGGACACTGTAACAAGCCACAGGTCACAGAGCAGGAGCAAGTGAAAACCTTGTGTCATTCTGGATGTGCCTTCCATTACTTCTGGGACAGTATCTCAAAGGCACACCTTTCTAGCCCACATTCATTCTGGCCACCTTCCAGTATATTCTCCATTCAATCCTGTCTTGGTCTTCTCCAGGTTAAAGAATTTTGTACTTCAGGATTTTTCCACATGCCGTTGTCTCTGCATATTCACAGGATTCTTTTCTTTTTCAATTCCTAGATAGAAGAGCGAGCAGAATTTTTGAATAAGTCTGTGCAGAAAAGGTAAATATAGTTGATTGTTCAGTTGACAATAATCAGATGTTGTATACATGGAAAGAGTCTTCTGTCTCATATTTTTATGTCTGGGTTTATCCAGCAGTGGTGTCAAATCAACTCATCAAGCAGCAGTAGTCTCCAAGATCGACAGCCGACTGGAGCAATACACCAGTGCAATTGAGGTGAGCACTGTCCTCTGATTATAGTCCTGTAAAACAGAATTGGGCTGTGATTACACACCAGATCATAGAAATGCTTAGGGTGATGAGCAAGTCTGGTTATGGACTAGTTGTGGAGAAGGACAGTGATAAAGATGCATTAGAGAAGATTTTTAACTAGATTATTGTTTACTACTCTTAGTCTGATTTTTCTTTGAAGAAAGGATTGTTTTGGTGACTAGATCTGTTGGTGTGTTTATTATATTTATTCAAAGATATGTCTTCAGTTTTGTTTGTAAAACCTCTTATTACCTAATAAAAGTAGTAGCTTAAAGTAATCCCAAGAAGAGTGCCAACTTGAGTTCTAATCATCACCCATTTTCAAATTGGTGATTTCATACTTGAAGGACCATCGTTTTATGCTTCTGTCAACTTTTTTTCCTTCATCTTTTCTATTCAGTTGAACTGGGAGTTTTACTATATTTGGAACTAATGTGTATTTCTCAAGCCAAAGCACTAAAAATGTACCATCATCAACCAAGATGTGTTTCTGGTCGACTTCTCCTTTAGGGAGACTTTAGCAATGGTTTTAGCCTTTGTATCAGAACACTGATAGTGAAATGATTGGATCGGACTGGTTTGATTTGCTTTCTCTCTTCTTTGTACTCAGAATTAAGATGCCTATAAAATAGCTCATAAACAAGCAACAAAATGGAATAAGAAAGAGAGGGACATTATAGTATATCAAGTATGTGAAGTCCTATTCACATGATTTTTATTCACAAGACTGGTGTCCTCTAAAACATGACAAATTGCAGATAGTTCATTCCTATGACCGGACTGGCCCCAGCACTAGTAGGTCTAACAAAGCCAAGACTGTGGCTTCAGACTTTGCCCCTAAAGATGCCACTCATTGCTGCTGACCACCTTGATGATAAGCACAAGCCACCAAGCCAGACTGATGGTGAAACTTGTGCCGTTCTGGACTCGTTCATTACAGCTGGGAAAGTACCTCAGAGGCACATCTTTCTTCCATTCTTTCTTCCCTACTTCAGGACCTTTGCATATACTGTCCACTGCATAGAATGAAGCATCTTCCTCTCATTCCCTTTGCCACTGCTGAGTCTTCCATCAGATCTGGTTTTAAATGTTACTTCCTCTGAGTAGCCTGTTTTATGTCTCCAAACTAAGCATTATTCCCCTATTTTGTACTTCCTTCTCGGGCTTTATAGCAATCCATTATTTTTCTTAGCATTTACTACAATGCAAAATAAGTACTCATATACAAGTTACTATCTTTTGTTCTACTAAAATATAAGCTTTCTGTGGCTTATAGAACAGACTGTCTTGCTTTGAGCACCTCCATCTCCCCAGGGCCTAGCAAAGTACAAATACATAGTAGAGATTAAGAACCTATCTGCTGGGACTGGGGAGATGGCTCAGTGGATAAAGTGCTTGCTGTGAAATCATGATAACTGGAGTTCAGATCCCCAGCACCCATGTGAAAGTTGGGTGAATGTGGCAACCTACCTATAAATCCTACAAATCCCAGGCCACAATCCATCACCAAGGAAAGTCAGGGTGGAACCTAGAGGTAGGAACTGAAGCAAGTCCACAGAGGAATGCTGCTTACTGACTGGCTTGCTTCCCGTGGCCCGCTCAGCCACCCCTTCCATACAACCCAGGCTCACCTGCCCAGGGATGGCACTACCCACAGTGGTCTGGGCTCTCCTACATCAAATTGCAACTAAGAAAATGCCCCACAGGCATGGCCATAAGCCAATCCAATGGTGAAAGTTTTTCAGCCGAAGTTCCCTCTTCCCAGGTGACTCTAGTTTGTCTCGAGTTGGCAAAAACCAACCAGCATGCTAGACTAGCCAATTTGGTGAGCTCTGGGTTAAGTGAGAGACTCTGCCTCAATATATAAGGTGGAGAGTTATCAAAGAAGGCACCGGATGTCACCCTCTGGCCTACAAACACACACATGCACACACGTGCATGCTTACCTACACATGCATACACATACACATGCATACCACACACATATACACATGCAAAAAAGCAGCCTATCTGCTGAAGAAGCTTAGGAGCTAGGTCAGTCAGTAACTACATAAGAATAAGTACTTTAAGTTTGATCCCCAGAGTCCATATAAAAAAGTCTTGTGTAGTGGTACATGTCTTTAATCCCAGCACTTTGGAGGTAGACGCAAGTGGATCTCTGTGAGTTTGAGGCCAGCCTGGTCTACATAGTGAGATCTAGGCCAGGCAGGATTACAGAGTGAAACCCTGTCTCAAAATAAATAAGTAAATAAATAAATAACCGGTCCAGCTGGCTGTGGTGGCACACATCTTTAATCCCAGCACTCTGGAGGTAGAGGCAGGCAGAACCCTGGGAGTTCAATGCCAGCCTGGTCTACTTAGTGAATTCCAGGCCAGCCAGGGCTGCATAGTGAGATGCTGGTCTAAAACATAAAAAAAAAAAAAAAAAAAAAAAAAAAAAAAGCCAGGCATGGTATGCTGGATAGCTTTAGTGTCAACTTGACACACCTGGGTTGAAGGAGCCTCAGTCGGGAAATTGCCTCTATTGGACTGGCCTGTGGCCATGTCTGAAGGGCATCTTCTTGATGAGTGATGTGGGAGGGCCCAGCCCACTGTGGGTGGTGCCACCCCTGGCCAGGTGGGCCTGTGTTGCATAAGAAAGCAGGCTGAGCAGGGGCCAAGGGAGCAAGCCAGTAAGCAGTGTTCCTCCATGGCCTGTGCTCCAGCTCCTGCCTCCAGGTTCCTGCCCTGAGTTCCTACCTTGGGCTCCCTGATGAACTGCGATGTGGGAGATGTAAGACAAATAAACCCTTTCCTCCCCAAGTTGGTATTGGTCAGAGTATTTTGTCACAGCAATGAAGAACAAACTAGGACACATAGTGGAAATACTTGTAATTCCAGCATGAAAGAGGCAGAGACAGCTGGATCCTTGGGGCTTATTAGCCAAGCAGTGTAGCTGAATTGCTGAGATACAGGCCAGTGAAAGACTGTCTCAAAAAACAAGGTAGATAGATGGCTTCTAAGGACTGGAATGATGCCTAAGACTAACTTCTGGTCTCCATGCACATGTGCACACTGACATGTACCCATATAAATATGTGCACACATACATACACATACACACATGAAAGAGGGCTGGGGACCTATCTGCTGAAGAAACGGAATCATCTCTCATTTTATAAATAGGCCAGATAGAAAGCATAATTCATTTCTGGAAGATCCTCTGATCTAGCTCATCTGGTTTCTTCTGAGAGCTGTGTATCATCCAAATGGAGCTGTACAACAGAATTTGTGAATCGCTTTCAATGAAGATATTTGACCATGAAATTTTTAGGTGATCATGTTGAAAAAGACCAGCTCACTATAATGTTATGAGGACAGACTTCTCAATGCCATCATAACATTTATTCATACGTTTCAGGGAACAAAAGCTGCCAAACCTACCAAGCCCGCAGCCTCAGATCTTCCTGTTCCTGCTGAAGGCGTCCGCAACATCAAGAGCATGTGGGAGAAAGGGAATGTGTTCTCGTCCCCCTCTGCATCGGGAACACCAAATAAGGTAAGCGTGTGATTTGCATCTTTTAAGTTTCAGTGAGTGAATCCCCCCCCCATTTTGTTTTAGGAATAACCTTAGTTCATAATAAAAGCAATAAAGAAGGTACAATTTGTACGTTTCCAGTGGCCAAAAATGCAAGCTTAGAAAGAATATGTTCGTGAGACACACCTGCATACTGAGCTGTGGCCATGAAATTCTAAATGAAGTGCTTGAGATTAATTGTCATCTCTTGAAGTTGGGAGGGATAAGGGGCAAACTGAAGAAAAACTGAGATTCTTTTGATGTCAGACTTAACATGTATGCTTATATGAAATAGTACTTGTACTAATCAGGGTTCTATAGAGGGACAGAACCAATACAGTAAATATACATTATGAAAGGGAAGTTATTACATCGGCTTACATAGGGGCTGGGTAGACCAACAATGGCTGGCTGCACTCTAGAGAGGCAGAGAACCCAGTAGCTGTTCATGTCACAAAGCTGGATGCCTCAGTACTCTTAATTGGGCGATGAAGGCCCAGAGGATTCGTGGAAAGCCTCTGGGGTTTAATCGTGTTGGAAGGCTGAAGAAACTGGATTCTTGTGTCAGTGAAGGAAGGCTGCCTACCAAAACCATAGGTCAGATACACTCACCAGCAAGAAGTGAAAGCAAGCAGGTAAAGCGGCACTGGTTTCTCCTCAGACCTCTTTCTAACTGGCCACAGCCAGCAGGTGCTGTGGGGCAGGGGCAGTGAGCGTCTTTTCCCTTAAGTTAATCCTTTCTGGGATTACCTTCTGGATCTAATCAAGTTGCCAGTCATGGTTAACCAGTGAAGTCCTTCATGAAATTTTGAACTTATGAAAATTCCATGGGTAAATTTACTTTTTTTTTTTTTTAAGATTTTTGTACAATTGATTTTTTTCATAGGAAACTGCTGGCCTGAAGGTGGGGGTTTCCAGCCGCATCAATGAATGGCTAACTAAAACACCAGATGGGAACAAGTCACCTGCTCCCAAGCCTTCTGTAAGTAGTATACAGGTTTTCTGAGTTTCCTTGATGTTATGGCTTCCAATAACAAAAGAATACGAGCAATTGGTTTAGGTGCTTAGGAAACACTTTCTGTTCTTTCCACTTTCTGTTCAATAACATATAGGTAGGTGTGCAGACTAAGGCCAGCCGAAGCAGCTGTGCCACAATTATCCAGAGAGTAAAATGGCATCAGACCTCTCTGCCTGAGAGAAAAGGGGGACTTAGCCACAATATCGGGACAGTTCAAATTCAAACCCTCTCCTGGTCTGTAACATTTTTTGGCTTCTATAAATTACATATAGGAGTTTAAAAATAAAATACCGTGTTAATTTGGCTACTGGCTTTATTACATGTACTCCTAATGTTCTCAAAAGAATGTGTTTTGGCTGTTTTGAGCTCATATTTTCTAATTTTACCTAATTTCTATGGGGTAACTTGAAATAAATGCTATAATTTTGTTATCAACACCCGCAAAAGAAAGTGATAAAAAAATAAAACT